TTTTCGTTCACGTTGTGACCATCTTATATATATATATATACAAGACTAACACATTACTGAAGGAACAGGATATTTCTAGAAAACGTGGCGTGACACTAGTCACGTGACCTCGCTGACGCAACAATATTAAATATGTTTCTACTCGCACTTCTTTTAGTTTTATTAATAGTCCTTGTTTAGCACAGAGCTACACAATGGGCTACCTGCGCTCTGTCCACCGCAGGGAATCGAACCCCGGATATTAACACTGTAAGTACGTCAACTTACGCCTGACTCTCCATTTGGTTAATGCATATGTAAACCGGGTTTGTTTTGTATTTCTTCTGTATGTTACTTCTTCAAAATGACTCTGAGATAACGTTGCTATACTTTGTTCTACGTTATCTACGAATTTCACCTGTTCTCATTGTGTACATATGCACCCACTATCGCTATAAATGCTATTTATCGAACATTAGGATAACATCCAGGCCAAACTTGTTAACTTTGAATATCAGCTAGACGTTAATCCTGCGGCAGAAATAACATAATAGTTAGTTGTGCTGCCCCCAAAGTTGGACCTCGTTTTTTCTCTTTTTGAGAAAACAATAACACCAAAAATAAATCAGAACGACTTTCCCTGCTGGGTTCACCAGAAGGTAAGGAGTACATGTTTGGTTTATATTTCAAGTTAAAAGTTTTGATGTTTAAGGATTTAATAACGTTAAGTGCCGTATTTAAAACTTTCCTACGTCATAATCTACCAACAATAACTTGTATCTATCATAATACACGTTAGGTATAAGCTAGATCTAGAACTCACTTCAGCTAGCCTGTCAGAATAAAAAACAATGACTTCAGCTAGCCTGGTAGATTAATAAAAAAAACTATTGATTTCAGTTAGGCTATCAGATTAATAAAATAATAACTTCAGCTAGCCTGGTAGATTAATACAATAATAATAACAACTTCAGTTAGCCTGGTAGATTAATAAAAAAAAAACTATTGATTTCAGTTAGGCTATCAGATTAATAAAATAATAACTTCAGCAAGCGTTTCAGAATACCCCCCCCCCCCATAGGTACAGTGGCATGTCTGCGGACTTGCAACTCTAGAAAATGGATGTCGATACCTGAGGTGGGCAGAGCAGAGATAGCCCATTGTGTAGCTTTGTGCTTAATTACAAACAAACAAATCAGAATAAATAACAATAATAACTTTAACTAGCCTGATAGATTAGTAAAAAATAATAATAACTTTAACTAGCCTGATAGCTTAGTAAATAACAATAACAACTTTAACTAGCCTGGTAGGTTAGTAAATAACAATAATAACTTTAACTAGCCTGGTAGATTAGTAAAAACATTACTGACTTCAGTTAGGCTATCAGATTAAGAAAATAATAATAACGATTTCAGCTAGCCTTTCAGATTAAAGCTTTCACACCGAAGTGCTCTCAAGAGACGTTTAATTTTAAACGGCGTTTTGTAAGTTTCACCTAAATGTCAACTGTTAAGCTTACTTAAAAAATTCAATTACTCAAAGCTCATTTCATACTGGTGTTTATATGAGTTTAGTTATTTAAGATCAAACTCCTCGCTTGTCTCACAGCCATTTTAAATTACTTTGATTACTCAACAAATTCCTCACGCACTTGAAAATATTTCATGAAGAGAAATCTTCCTATATACACTGAGTGGTCACAAGTAAATAGACACCTAATTTTTCGTCATTTAACTGATTTATGCTAACTAACTTGTGTTCACAGAGCACTATATAAATGAAAATGGTCCGCACACTAATTATCTTGTGCTACAACATGCCTAGAACTGAAGGTTCTCTCGAATTGTCAGATTTTGTTAGAGGAAGGATAGTTTGTCAAGAAGACGATGGAATAAGTCAGTGGCAAATTTTGCAGAATTTGGGAATCCCGCTTTCGACAGTCAACAGAATCAT